TACTAAAGAATGAATGGGTCAACCAAGAAATTAAAGAAGAATTAAAAAAATTCATGGAAACCAATGAAAATGAAAACACAACTGTTCAAAATCTTTGGGATGCAGCAAAGGCAGTCCTGAGAGGAAAGTATATAGCAATACAAGCCTTTCTCAGGAAACAAGAAAGGTCTCAAATACACAACCTAACCCTACACCTAAAGGAGCTAGAGAAAAAACAGCAAATAAAGCCTAAACCCAGCAGGAGAAGAGAAATCATAAAGATCAGAGCAGAAATCAATGAACTAGAAACCAAAAGAACAGTAGAACAGATCAACGAAACTAGGAGCTGGTTCTTTGAAAGAATTAACAAGATTGATAAACCCCTGGCCAGACTTATCAAAAAGAAAAGAGAAATGACCCAAATCAACAAACTCATGAATGAAAGAGGAGAGATCACATCCAACACCAAAGAAATACAAACAATTATAAGAACATTTTATGAGCAACTAAATGCCAGCCAATTAGATAACCTGGAAGAAATGGATGCATTCCTAGAGATGTATCAACTACCAAAACTGAACCAGGAAGAAATAGAAAACCTGAACAGGCATATAACCACTAAGGAAATTGAAGCAGTCATCAAAAATCTCCCAACAAACAAAAGTCCAGGGCCAGATGGCTTCCCAGGGGAATTCTATCAGACATTTAAAGAAGAATGAATACCTATTCTTCTGAAACTGTTCCAAAAAATACAAATGGAAGGAAAACTTCCAAACTCATTTTATGAGGCCACCATTACCTTGATCCCAAAACCAGACAAAGACCCCATCACAAAGGAGAATTACAGACCAATATCCTTGATGAACATGGATGCAAAAATTCTCACCAAAATACTAGCCAATAGGCTCCAACAGTACATTACAAGGATTATTCACTATGACCAAGCGGGATTTATCCCTGGGCTGCAAGGCTGGTTCAACATCTGCAAATCAATCAACGTGATTAATACATTAACAAAAGAAAGAGCAAGAATCATATGATCCTCTCAATAGATGCAGAAAAAGCATTTGACAAAGTACAGCATCCTTTCTTGATCAAAACTCTTCAGGGTGTAGGGATAGAGGGTACATACCTCGATATCATAAAAGCCATGTATGAGAAACCTATAGTGAATATCATTCTCAATGGGGTAAAACTGAGAGCTTTCCCCCTAAGGTCGGGAACACGGCAGAGATGTCCACTATCACCACTGCTATTCAACATAGTATTAGAAGTCCTAGCCACAGCAATCAGACAACAAAAAGAAATCAAAGGCATCCGAATTGGCAAAGAGGAAGTCAAACTCTCACTCTTTGCAGATGATATGATACTTTATGTGGAGAACCCAAAAGACTCCACCGCAAAACTGCTAGAACTCATACAGGAATTCATAAAGTGGCAGGATATAAAATCAATGCACAGAAATCCGTGGCATTCCTATACACCAACAACAAGACAGAAGAGAGACAAATCAAGGAGTCGATCCCATTTACAATTGCACCCAAAACCATAAGATACCTAGGAATAAATCTAACCAAAGAGGCAAAGGATCTGTACTCAGAAAACTATAAAATACTCATGAAAGAAATTGAGGAAGACACAAAGAAATGGAAAAATGTTCCATGCTCCTGGATTGGAAGAACAAACATTGTGAAGATGTCAATCCTACCTAGAGCAATCTACACATTCAATGCAATCCCCATCAAAATACCGTCCACTTTTTTCAAAGAAATGGAACAAATAATCCTAAAATTTGTATGGAACCAGAAAAGACCCCGAATAGCCAGAGGAATCTTAAAAAGAAAAGCAAAGCTGGCAGCATCACAATTCCGGACTTCCAGCTCTATTACAAAGCTGTCATCATCACGACAGAATGGTACTGGCACAGAAACAGACACATAGATCAATGGAACAGAATAGAGAGCCCAGAAATGGACCCTCAACTCTATGGTCAACTCATCTTTGACAAAGCAGGAAAGAATGTCCAGAGGAAAAAAGACCGTCTCTTCAACAAATGGTGTTGGGAAAATTGGACAGCCACATGCAGAAGAATGAAACTGGACCATTTCCTTACACCACACACCAAAATAGACTCCAAATGGTTGAAAGACTTAAATGTGAGACAGGAGTCCATCAAAATCCTAAAGGAGAACACAGGCAGCAACCTCTTGGGCCTCAGCCACAGCAACTTCTTCCTAGAAACATCGCCAAAGGCAAGGGAAGCCAGGGCAAAAATGAACTATTGGGACTTCATCAAGATAAAAAGCTTTTGCACAGCCAAAGAAACAGTCAACAAAACCAAAAGTCAACTGACAGAATGGGAGAAAATATTTGCAAATGACATATCAGATAAAGGGCTAGTATCCAAAATCTATAAAGAACTTCTTAAACTCAACACCCAAAGAACAAATAATCCAATCAAGAAATGGGCAGAAGACATGAACAGACATTTTTCCAAAGAAGACATCCAAATGGCCAACAGGCACATGAGAAAGTGTTCAACATCGCTCGGCATCAGGGAAATCCAAATCAAAACCTCAATGAGATACCACCTCACGCCCATCAGAATGGCTAAAATTAACAAGTCAGGAAACGACAGATGTTGGCGGAGATGTGGAGAAAGGGGAACCCTCCTACACTGTTGGTGGGAATGCAAGCTGGTGCAGCCACTCTGGAAAACAGTATGGAGATTCCTCAAAAAGTTGAAAATAGAGCTACCCTACGATCCAGCAATTGCACTACTGGGTATTTACCACAAAGATACAAATGTAGGGATCTGAAGGGGTACGTGCACCCCGATGTTTATAGCAGCAATGTCCACAATAGCCAAAATGTGGAAAGAGCCAAGATGTGCATTGACAGACGAATGGATAAAGAAGAAATGGTATATATACACAATGGAATATTATGCAGCCATCAAAAAGAATGAGATCTTGCCATTTGCAATGACGTGGATGGAACTGGAGGGTGTTATGCTGAGTGAAATAAGTCAATCAGAGAAAGACATGTATCATATGACCTCACTGATGAGGAATTCTTAATCTCAGGAAACAAACTGAGTGTTGCCGGAGTGGTGGGGTGTGGGAGGGATGGGGTGGCTGGGTGATAGACATTGGGGAGGGTATGTGCTATGGTGAGCGCTGTGAATTGTACAAAGCTGTTGAATCACAGATCTGTACCTCGGGAACAAATAATGCAATATATGTTAAGAAAAAAAAAGAAGTTAGAAGGAGGGGAGGAATGAAGGGGGGGGAAATGGAGGGGGAGACGAACCACGAGAGACGATGGACTCTGAAAAACAAACTGAGGGTTCTAGAGGGGAGGGGTGTGGGGGGATGGGTTAGCCTGGTGATGGGTATTAAAGAGGATACGTTCTGCGTAGAGCAGTGGGTGTTATGCACAAACAATGAATCATGGAACACTACATCAAAAACTAATGATGTATGGTGATTAACATAACAATAAAAATGTAAGAAAAAATGTAATTAATGAATTAATAAAACACATTCCAAACTCCTTTTCAGAAGTGAAGGAGAAAGTCAGGGACCTGATAAGGTTAACAGTGATATGTAGTAACCAAATCCCACTGAACCTGAGTTCCATGAGGCAGGGACTGTTGTGCTGACTATGTTATCCCTCAGAGCCTGGCATTTCTTAGAAATTCAATACGTTATTTGTTGAACGAGTACATCAATTTTGTTTTCGCCTATAGACTTTGTGCCCTAACTTACATTCTTTCTATTCAAAGTGGGTTTATCACTTGACTAATGCTATAAATAATAGAAGAAAGCTCCTATTCTTTTTTTTAAGATTTTATTTTTAAGTAATCTCTACACCCAACATGGGGCTCAGACTCACAACCCAGAGATCAAGAGTCACATGCTTCACCAACTGAACCAGCCAGGCACCCCAGAAAGCCTATGTTCTTATGTCCTCTGACCAAGAGTCAGTTTTCAAAATAATCAACAAGGAGTGAAAAAATATAAAGCCGCTAAGTTAAAGGCTTACAGGGGGACATGCTTCGGAAGTAGGAGTGAGGGTCCTTGTTTCTCTTTAGAAGTGAGTAGGGGGTGTGATATAATCCCTGGAACAGAGAACTAGGACCACGATCTGGTCAGAGCCACTGCAGAGGAGCAGAAATGGACAATTTGGAATGTGTCTGCTCCCTCTAGGTGTGTGGGCATTCGTTCATCAGCATGGGTTTTTTGTTTTTGTTTTTTTAATTCATTTGAGACACAGAGATACAGAGAGAGAAAGAGAGAGAGAGCATGAGCAGTGGGAGAGAGAGGGAGGGGGAGAAGCAGGCTCCCTGCTGAGCATGGAGCCTGATGTGGGGTTTGATCCCAGGACCCTGGGATCGTGACCCGAGCCGAAGGCAGACGCTTAATCATCTGAGCCACCCAGGCGCCCCAGCATGGGTTTGTTAATGAACCAGACTGTTAATTCAAAAAAAAAATCCACTCCCTGTTACCTCCAAATCTCCTCCATGCAGGATAAATTGGGGGCATATCAACATTCCTCATGGGAGGCATCAGTGTAGTAAATCTTTTTAATACACACTCCTCAGTATGTGCCCATATTCTAATTTTATTTTGATATTCACTAGCCTACCCCTTACTGGGCTTCTCATTGCAGATTTTTAGGCCTCAGTATAGCACTTGATTTTGGTGGCCAAAGAGTATACTTTAGCTTGGTAACTTTTGACAAAAATCCACCTAAAGTAAGAGCTGACTTCTGGATAGCTTAGAATGGAGTCCCCTGAACCAAGTCATTCTTTCGTCACAGACTGTACAACCTTTGTTATTCCTCGCTTAAAGGGGGAAAATGTAAAGGGAGTATAAAACATTTCTCTGCTGGATGTAGCAACTCTTTGTATATGAATTCCTGATCAGGCAAAGTTCAAGTGCTGCTTAAATAATAGAACCTAGATGAGCTACTATTTAATTATCTGTGAGGAATATATTGATTTTTTCCCCCTACAGATCATTATGTTAAACTCTGTGTCTGACCTTCATGGCTACATTGACAAAAGCCAACTGACAGAGGACTTAGGGGGAACTTTGGAATACCGCCATAATCAATGGATAAATCATCGAACTGTGAGTACCAATTTACATGCCCTTTATGTTGTCTCTCCTTGTTTTCCAGAAGACAGGGCAGTTAAAGATCAACTGTTGGGCAGTCATTGCCCATGACCACCTAACATTGGGATGGTTGGATTTTCTAAGCCACAGGTAGGGGAGAAATGGGGCGGAAGGGAAGGGGCTGTGACTTGTCCTAATATCTACCTTTGCCTCACCTCATCATCTGGCATGGGGTTTGGGGGAGACTTTTTTTAGAATGCACCTGGGGAGTTTTCAACATACCAGCACCCTGCTCTACCTCAGAGAAATTAATTTGCTTGATCAGGGTTGGGTCTCAGACATTAGCATTCCACACAACTTCCCAGATGATTCTAATGTACAGAAAGATAAAAACCCACCAAGTCAGAAGGAGCTGCATTTACATATTGTCACAATTCTTATTGTCTGACCTTGGGTCAGTTATTAAACCTCTTTCAGCTTTTCTCCCCTATTAAAATGGAACTAACAGTGGTTTTCAGCTGGGGACAATTTTAGAAAGACTTTTTTTGTAGTCATGATTTGGGAGGAGGCGAGTTATTGGCATCTAGTGGGTAGGAGGCAGGGATGCTGCTAAGCAGCTTATGCACAAGACAGCCCCCCACAATGAAGAATTGTCTGGTCCAAATGTCAATAGTGCCGATGATGAGAAACCTCAGACTAACAGAAGCTGCCTGAGAGTTTGATGTGAGACAAAGTGATGTAATGTGTGTGAAAGTACCTGACATATAGTATTTTACTTGACTCACTCATAGTAATGGTTATTATGCTAAATAACCAGAAACGTCAGTAATATGGAGGAAAAAGTGGGATTGAAACTCAAATAATAAGTGTTTCTGTATAAAGTTGCCATTCTCCTTTCTCCACTCTCATAGCCCCCAGACCCTCAAAATGACTAGGTTTTCTGAGCTGAGTCAGAAGCTCCCTCACCACCCCAGGGACAACTTGTGGTGTCAGCCCCCTTCTCTCTGTATCAGGTAACTTTGGATACATGTTGCCCAACACTTACCAATAAACACCTGAAGGACATTTAATTAGGTAGGAGAATTTACTCTCCTTTAGAGTGTAAAGCTTTGTGATTTTTTTTAAAAAAAGGTAATTTAAGAACGAAACAAAAATAGATTTCTAGCAAAAGTGCATTTATTTCAAAGCTACAGATTCTAATCCTTCTGTCACTTCTTCGTATGCTATGTAATTCTAAGGAAGACATGACCCTTCCCAAAACCTAGCGGAAGACCCACAACCTGGGCATGAACCCTTTAAACTTCTCATCAGTTTTACCACAATAACAGTGACTGCAAGAGAACTCTTGAGAATGAAAAAAGGAATGGTGAAGTTCTTCACAAACATATTATTCCCACTAGGTCTAAACAGAAAAGATATGGAGGGAAGCTTATGTAGAATATCACACACAAATAAGTGTGATCAGGGTTGTCCTGTGTTGCAATTTCATTAAACCATATGAAAAATGAAACTGGAGGGCTTCCAAGGCTTTATTTTTTCACTTCCTAGGATTTTATTATGTTACTTTAATAATCAGAAGAATTTACTGTCCTGCCACCCTGACTTGGCCTAGCTAGCTCTCCCTTTTGCTCTGACTTCTCTACCAATCCTTTGTTTTATTATGTTATTAATGTTTTTCAAGTTGCCTCAGATCTTTTTTGAAATAACACAAATTTGCCCCAAATGAATAAAGAAAAAAACTAAATGTACCTTGACATCAAAGATAAAAATAGTTCTCTGAGAACTTAGAGAGGTAAAGAAGACAGAAACCATGAACATAGATTTTTTAAAGACATGGCCTGAGCAAACAGGTGCACACACCTTCCAACCCCAGGCCTAGTTTGTATCCATGGTTTGTATTTGTACATGTGTTAATCATATTATAATGAACTTTAAAAAATACAACTAGTATTGAAACATCAGACATTTTTATATGCCTTTTGTATGTTTTTATATATATATTTTATATACACATATATATAATTAGAACTATAATAATATAATACATATACATTTCATGTAGTCAGTTTTTGGGTAACAGTGTACTTTCTGGATGTCAGATCTTTGAGACTCATTAGAACTGAAAAGAACCTTAAAGATCATTTATTTCAATTACCTTATTTTACAGATAAGGAAATTGACCTTCAAAGTAAAGAAGTGATTTATCCAAGGTTATATGGTTGAGTAGTGGCAGAGCCAAGACTAAGGCCAGGCTCTTTCTCATCACCCTGTCAGCGTCAGGTCCTCTATACCATTTCCAAGGTGACTGTTTGCTAGTCAGATACCTGGAATCAAGTTAATTTGTTAATAGGACTCTCCATAGGAAACCCCTGGCTTTCATCTCTCTCCAGGTTGACATCTGCAAGCCTTGCACCTGACTCTCAGAGTTGTTGCTGTTATTATTATTACACTCCTAAGGTACTCTGCTGTGCCCAAGTCCTTTCACATTTGCTATTCCTTTGATAGCAAAGGAATCACAGAGCAAAAAAACCCTGCAAAAACAGAGCAACCATTATTCCCATTTTTCAAATGAAGACACTAGGACTCAGAGCAATACCAGGTTTAGTCAAGATCACACAGTTAGAGAGCAGAATCTGGACTGTAATTCAAGTCTTAAACTCTCAAGCCAAGATCTTTCGTTGATCTAATTTTAAACCTAGTTTTGTTCAATCTAGTTTTTATTGCCAAGAGGTGGTATAGCATAGTGCTTAAGAGTGCTGGCCCTGGGTTCAATCCCAGTTCTGCCACTTGTTTTTTTTATATGACTTTGGGGGAAATTACTTAACCTTAATATGCTTCAGTTTCCTCATCTATAGAATGTGGTGATAGTAACCTAATTGAGATGCATTACAAGAAGTAGGGCATATTAAGCAAAGTACTTAATCTCATGTTTTCTTATTATAAGTCCTCTGATAAATTGGATTTTTATGTTATTCATTAGAGGCTATTGGTAAATGAAGTTGAAAGAGTATCTTATACAGATATTAGATTATATAAAAGTAAATACATTTTGATGTGCTTGAAAGAAAGATTTTCATAAAAGTTAGTGTTTGACTTTCCAAGCCAAAAGTACTATGATGTTCAGGACAGCAGCTATATAAATACTTGTGCTAATAGGGGAGATTCCACCTACAGCAATACTTCAAGTGTGAAAAGGGTTGATGGTGTAGGCGCCTGGCTGGTCCAGTCAGTAGAGTGTGTGACTCTAGATCTCAGGGTTGGAGTTCAAGCCCCACATTGGTTGTAGAGTTTACTTAAAAAAATGACTGATGGAGAATGACTTTGGGTTCAGACAGTTTGGGAGGTGTGCCATGCTCTGGAAGCCTCTATCATGCCAGCCTCAGCTCTGGCCCCTATTACAGAAAAGGGCTGTGCCACATCTGGCCCATTCTTTAGGATGTGCATTTGGGTTTTCAGAAATGTTCTCTGATTGTGTAAGAGCAGAAGTAATTTTTTCCCAAATGAAAGTTAGGTTGGGCCTCTTTGTCACTACCTGTTATCTGTCTAGCAGCTGTTTATGGGCCACCTACTGTGTGATAGGCAGAGTACCATTTGCTGGTGGAACGGAGATGAATTGTAGTCACCCTTCGAGGGCAAAACTGTCTCAGGAGCAGAGGGAAATGGGCAAGGTAGAGCCAATCTGGCTGACTAGAATGCTTTTGTGAGATTCTGAAAAGCCACTTGCCTTTAACTATATCATCTACTGATGATAAGCATCACTTTTTCTAGGTTAGGACATGTGTTTACTGCTAAAATGCACTCTGCTAAATGCATATATCTCATCTGGGATATTAGCTGTGAAGTTACTCATCAGTTAGTAGGTATTCATTTAATGGCAGAGTAGAGTCCTTAGTGGAAGGTAAATTTTTACAAAAGAGTGAGGGGCAGAGGTCCCCAGCTTCTCATCACATGTGACAAAAGTAACTCTCAGAAAGGTTGCTAGTGATCTAAGCACCCTGTCCATCTTCTCCCTTGGGGTCAAACTTGTTTCCCAAACTTGGTGACATTGGTTGAATCCTGCTTTCTTTCCTTCCTTACTGCCCAAGTAATATGTTCTTGGGCAATTCACTTGACCTTTTGGAGGTTCAGTTCCCTCTACTGTAAAAATGGAGATAAAATACCTTCCACTCTAGATGGTTGACATGATAGACAAAGGTATAGCACCAGGTACAATGCATGGCCCATTGCAGGTACTCAGGAAATGGTAGCTCTTTCTACTATCCTTCTATTCAGAGAACATATTGGTGAATGTTAAGCTCTCCTCATTGTTATGATTGTCTGACCTTCCAGGCCATCGAAAACTTTGCCATGACATTGAAGACCACTGCCCAGATGCTCCAGATGTTTGGGGTCTGCCTAGCCACAACAGAGCTGCCCAGAGGTGTGCTGTCCACTGAAGACCTCCTCGTGTCCCACACGAGGCAGAGGGACAAGCTGCAGGTGAGTAGTCAGTGGCCTCTCATAGGCCAGGTTCTTGGAGGGAGCCAGGAGAAGAATTAGAAGTTAAGTCCCCTTCTTCCTCCTTCTCCAATGACTTGGCAGTGACTGATCATCTTAAACCTTCTAGATAGGCCGTATGTGAAGAGAAAAAAACCTCTTGAGACTGGTCGGTGAATGTAAGAGGATTGTAATTAAGACCTGTGAGAAGCAGCCCCATAAAGGGAGACTCATTTCACCTTTGTGCTCTAGGAGAGGCGTTTGAGCATTGTTTCAAGGGCAGCACTCCTATGATCTGCTCAGGACAGAGCAAGATATAATGGATAAAACTGCAGTGAGGGGTGGGAGTTGGTGTTTGAGGCAGAAGCTTTCCTGAGGCTCTTGTGAAGTTTTGGGGCAAACTAATAAGCTGACATATTGCTTCACCTTCTGAGGGATATATCTTTTTATTTGGGGAGTAATTTGAGAAAGAAGACATGGAAAGTGCTCTGAACTGGATTTAAGGAGAGGCACCTATTAACTTCATAAAAGCACGTCAGAACCTGCTAAGAACAGAGGTTGGCAGATTCTTTCAGATCATGCAGTAAAGGGAAGACTTCCTGGGGCTTACAGGATGGGCATCAGCTCTTTTCTGCCTCCAGAAGCACAAATGGACCATATCCATTATTTCACAGAAGACCAGAACTCCATAGGGCAGCAAGCTGAGGATTAGAAGGTGGATACATCTTAGCATTACATGTATTCTTGCTGCACAGAGCTTAGCAGGAGCTGACCTCTTTTATCTGTGGCCCCAAATTTACAAAAATGCTTTGCTAGGTGGTTGATTTGTTCATTTAGTCAACATTTATTGACGACCTACCCCTACATGCCAGGAAAACAAATGAAAAAAAAAGTAAACTCAAGGAACACATAGTTGAGTTAGGGGAGTCCCAGAGTCTAGTAGTTAAGGCAAATTAATTTTTCCATGTGTCAGGGAGCACTGTTACATTCTCTTCTTAAGGAGCTTGATATCCAAAAAGAGTTCAGAATGTACTTTCTACACTACTCTGCATTATTAAAAGATCTGGTTTGAAACTGGGAAAACCTGAAAGCATCCTAGAAATTTTCCTGGGAAGTGTCTCTGACGAGCTTGACAGATACACACAACTTAGCACACCCATCTTTTTTTTTTTTTTTCATTATGTTACCACCATACAGCACATCATTAGGTTTTTTTTTTTTAAAGATTTTATTTATTTATTTATTTGAGAGAGCAAGAATGAGAGGAGAGAGAGCACATGAGAGGGGGGAGGGTCAGAGGGAGAAGCAGACTCCCCGCTGAGCAGGGAGCCCGATGCGGGACTCTATCCCGGGACTCCAGGATCATGACCTGAGCCAAAGGCAGTCGCTTAACCAACTGAGCCACCCAGGCGCCCACATCATTAGGTTTTTGATGTAGTGTTCCATGATTCATTGTTAGCACACCCATCTTGTTCCTGTGTATGCTTCTTACACATGGATGGAGACTCAGAGCACATCTTCAGAACATGTGCATGCAGGTGTCCCAGGCTCTTCTGCATATTGGGTCCTTCTCCAAGAAGAGCTTCCATTTCCTGAGGAAAAGTAACTTTGACAGGCTATAGGCCATCTCTCGGTTTATAAACAGTATGGTGGCATGCACCCTGCTGCCACTAGGACCCTGTCTGCACAAGGAGGAAATTCATGGAAATTCCCTCAGACTTCTATAGATTTTCCCAGAAGCCGGTCCCTGAACTCCTCCTGTAGCCTGAGTGCTGACAGTAAAAAAATTAAATACCCAAAAATGATGAAATGTATTTTCTCTTTGTGGGAACAAAAACCTGCTTAAGCTCTTTGGGCCATGTGACAACTGGATATCCACAAGGAAAGGAAGGAAATTGGATCCTCACCTCACATCCTATACAATAATTAACTCAAAATTGATCAAGGGACTAAATGTAAATCCTAAAACTATAAAACTCTTAGGAGAAAATATAGATGTAAATTTTCATGACCTTATATCAGGCAATGGTTTCTTAGATATAACGCCAAAAGCACAAACACCTAGAGAAAATAAACTGGACATCATCAAAATTAAGAACTTTGGTGCTTCAAAGGCCACTATCAAGAAGGTGAAAAGACAACCCGCAGAATGGGGGGAAATATCTACACATCATGTATCTGATGAGGGTCTAGTATCCAGAATATATAAACAACTCTTACAACTCAACCTTTGTAAAAAGACAACCCAACTGAAAAATGGGCAAAGGATTCGAACAGGCATATCTTCACAGAAGATACATAAATGGTTATTAAGCACATGAAGACATGTACAACTTCATTAGTCATTAGGGAAATGCAAATCAAAACCGTAGTGATATACCCACTAGAGTGGCTCTAATTAGAAAGATGGACAATAACAACTGTTGGTGTGGATGTGAGGAAATTGGAACCCTCAGACATTGCTTGTGGGAATGTAAACTGTCTGGTAGGTCCTCAAAAGGTTAAACATAGAGTTACCATATGACCCAGAAATTCTACTTCTATGTGTATGCACAAGAGATTTGAAAACATACATTTCATATAAAAAGTTACATATAAATGTTTGTAGCAGTATTATTCATAACATCCAAAAAGTGGAAACAACCCACATGTCCATCAGCTGATGAATGGATAAACAAAATGTGGTATAGCCATACAATGGAATATTACTCAGCCATAGAAAGGAAGTACTGATTGATACATGCTGTAATATGTATGAACTTTGAAATAATTATGCAGAGCCAAAGAAGCAGACACAAAAAACCACATATTGTGTGATTCCACTTACATGAAATGTCCAGAGTAGGTAAACTTAGAGTGAAAGTAGGGAGATGAGTGGTTGCCAGAGACTGGGAAGAGGGAGAAATGGAGAGTGACAGATAATAGGGGTGGGGTTTCTTTTTGACAGTGATAAAAATGTTCCGGGGGAGAAAACCATGAAATCGTATGCATTAAAAAGGTGAATTTTATGGTACTATATGAGCTATATCACAATTTTTTAAAAAAGAAAAAGACCTTTGGGCCTAACACAACAATATAATAGCCATGAAGCCTATAGAGATATGTGCTTTTCTTACTGTTTATGATGGCCCTGTGGATTCTTTTTCATAGCAAAACAGCTCTTCCCATTGTCTAATTCTGAGCTGGTTTTTGGGAGCAGTTTATAGAGGCAGGCAGTCTCTCTCTTGAATCCCAAAGGAGGTGATTATCTCCTCTTTGCCACTCTTATTTAAGCCAGAAACCCCAGGGTCTTGGCCTTTGGCTCTCAGATCCTTAAGTCAACTGAGACTTTACCATGTGTTCATTTAAATAGGGTAAGACTCTCATATTTTGTTGTTGTTAAAATAAGAAATCTAACAGAGCCAAAGGCCTTTCTCTCATCATGCAGGAGGAAAGTGCCAGTGGGTCCTCTGATTATGTGATAAAGTACTCTTACAAATATGAATACTGTTTAGTATTCAGTATTTGTTCCAGTCAGTATTTATTCAGTTTTGTATTCAGAGATGACAGTTCTATCAGTATTTCCAGGGTTACAAATAATCAAGAAGATAATCAGAATTATAAGTTATTTTTTTGTAGGCCCTAGAAATAATTTTATAGTCATAGGAGTTTTTAGGGACCCCCTTTGTTCGATCTCTACTTGCGGGGAATGTAAGTTAGGAATGGATAGACACGGAGGTCTTGATTTTGCACAGGAAGACAAACTTGGTATCCTTCTGAATGCTTTCAGTGTTAATACCTTAACAAATGAGCATTTTGCACTAATTTTATACCACAGGAAGGTTTCTTTCAATAGCTGCCGAGGAAAGAGGTATCTCATCTCTTTTAGGGACTTCTTTTTTCTCAGTTATGAAGATTTGCATTTTAAAGGCTAGATTCTAGAATTCATTAGTCAGCATTATACACAAAAGCACGCAGAGCTAACTTGTAGTGGCAGAAATGGAGCTAAGTAATAAAAGTGAAATGAGGAGTCTAAAACGTTAGTCATTCATATAATCTCTGGGCTCTGATTATCCTTTAACTTCCTATCCCACCTCCATTGCCAGCCCATGACACAGCTGAACACAGCACCTGGCATGGATAGTCGTGCTTTATAAATGTATTTTCAGTGAATGAATGAATATCTAGATTCATGCTTACTGTTGTCATAGGAAAGAATTCCCCCCAGAAAATTTAAGTTCTTTTGAGCCTGAAGCAATCTGCTTGCCCTATTAAGTGGGTCTTCCGAACCAACGGCTTGTTTCCATAATAATGGAACTGTAATGAGTACACACTGGGACAGCTGTACCAGTTGTTAAATATTTATGTTCCTTGAGTGTCCGACTTTACCTCTCTGGCCCGTTTCCTAGGACCCATGAGACCTCCTCAGGAATCCGGCCACTAAAGTGGTTAACACATGGACCGCAGTTGGCCTCAGGACTGCTTCAGCATTGTATCTGACATCTGCCTGATTGGTCAGTTCTTAAATATTCTGAATTGTTACGACTGTGGACAAGGGCAAACCCTACTTTTGGCCTGGGCAACTTATCTTTTCACTTGCCAAGTACCATAGTCCCTCAATCTTTCCCTGTGTATCTATGGCAGATTTTTATAACCCTGCTGAAGCTGACCACATACGGCCTAGTCCCAAAGCAGTAACCAGTCATGATTTTTCCTTGTGTTTTTTGATAGCGTGAAGGGGACACACAGTGAATGAGACCCCTTACTCAGGTCCACCTTCCCTCTCTCACACATTTCCTCACACTCTGCAGTTCTTTGGGTATACCTCTCTTCTGAGCTTCCCCTTCCAAAAGTCTTCTTCTGCTCTAGCAATACTCGTCTGCTTCTCTGGCCCCTCCACCCTTCCTCCCAACTCTACATCATACACACACTAAATAGATATAAAATCTAATAATGGCAATGCCAGAGTCCTACTGGAATGCTGGAATCTCAAGGACATCTAAGAAACTGAGTGAGAAAAGCCAAGACCTTTTTTAGAAGGTAGGAAGAGTGCAAGTTAAGAGTACTTGCTAATGAGTGCTTCGCCCCTTCCCCCCATCATATCCTATTTGTCCTTATTCATCTGCAATCTAATTTCTTTTAGACTATTATTAATTCATCCAACCTACAAATATTTTATGAGCATTGCTGAGATAAGAAGAAATGAGGGTTGATACCTGAGAGTGGACAAGAAGGGATGTATCCAGTTCCTAGGCAGGAGTACCAGCCAAGAGGCTGACTGCGGGGCATTACCTGGAGAGGACAGAGCCACAGGGGGTGTCCAAAGAACTTGGGCCAGATCAGAGAAGTCAAATTTATCAGCAACCAAATCCGGGGACAAGTTTGAGGCTGGGTGTGGATAGCAGAAGCCTGCAAGGGGATGAATACTGGAACGAGCAAGATGGGAGATGAGGAACAAAGGCGTGAGGGTGAGCGGGCCAGAACTTGTGTGTGAACAGGGTGGAGAAACCCAAAACTCCTCCGACAGGGAATGAGCTCCATACTGTGAGAAGGCTGGAGGTGGCCAGTCCCCAAGGAGAGATTCAGGGTTCATGTGCATAGAGGATATTGTTTTGTAACTATGGGCCTATTCTAATGCTCAGGGCATACTAACCAGCATCCTGTGTAACCCACGCACCAAATCCCCGACTCCTTGGAGTAGAATTCCCTGCCAGGCTCTGCCCCTTTGGCTTGTTTTGTGGTTCTCAAGGCGTTGAGAGAAATGACTTGTGCTGTGTGATTAGAGGACTTGAGCTGGTGGATTTGGCAGGAGATAACCTGACATCTTCTCCAATTGCAAACCCCACATCCCATGTAAAAGGAGGGGAATAGAATCGCCTTGGAAGTATGAGTCTTTCCATGTCAAACCGAAGTTGCCGACCATCTCCGCCAAACTTCCATAATTGAACAAGCCACACTTTGCGGGCAGATAGAAAGAGAGGCAGGTGTCAACTGAGACCAGATGAAGTTTTTTTCCTGGTCAGCTAGAAACTATTACATTATTATTACATGCCAGTTTCTAGCACTTATTATTCAGTATCTGTCATTTTCTTGTTTCTGGTCACTGCCCTGGATTAGAACCAGATTTTATTAATTTGTTAATCAATGTAAAATTATTAATTATTAAGCAATTAATATAAATGCCTAAGTAATAATTAAAATTATTGATTTATTGCTTTTGCTTTAAATATATAACAGTAGTTTGAGATATAAAATTCAACAGTTGTTGCTTTAGAGAGAAAAAGTGGATGGGCAGGGGACAAAAGACTTATTTTTTCCAATATATATCCTTTTGTATATTTTGGGTTTTGTATCATGTATATGTATTACCTGCTAAAAATAAGTTAATAATCATATGACCTAATAATACCACTTCTGGGCATTTACCCAAAGAAGACAAAAACACTAATTTGAAAAGGTATATGCACCCCTATGTTTATTGCAGCGTTATTTACAATAGCCAGATTATGGAAGCCACCAAAGTGTCCATTGATAGATGAATAGATAAAGAAGATGTGGTGTATATATACAATGGAATCAGCCATAAAAAGGAATAACATGGATGGATCTAGAGGGTATACTGCTAAGAGAAATAAGTCAGTCAGAGAAAGACAAATGATTTTTTTGAAATGAAAAATGAAATGAAACCATATGATTTCATTTATGTGTGGAATTTAAGAAACAAAACAAAGAAAAAAAAAGAGACAAACCAAAAAACAAGACTCTTAATTACAGAGAACAAACAGATGGTTACCCGAGGGGAGGTGGGTGCAGGGTAGGAGAAACAGGTGCTGGGGGTCAGGAGTGGACACTTAACCATCGTGAGCACTGAGTAATGTAGTAGAGTTGTTGAATCACTGGATTGTACACTTGAAACTCATATAACACTTTATGTTAACTACACTGGAATTAATATTAAAAAAATTAAGGAGTTAATTAATTTTTAAAAGCTATAGCTTGACTTCTTTAGTGTTTAATTTCCTATAAGAAAGATACAGCTGATCTGCCATTCTCCTCACCGCAAATCTACCAAGAATTTGCTTTTGTTCATTTCTTTTGAGACTATATTTTCCTTTCTCTAGGATGAGCTGACATTACTTGGAAAGCAAGGGACCACATTACTGTCATGTATTCAAGAAACAGCAACCACAAGTCCCACCAGCAAACTCAGTCCCAATGAACTAGAGAATGTAGCTACCATGGAAAGGTGAGTGAGAGAGGGGGGAATGTGCAGAACTCAATCTGAAACAGCCAAGAACAATTGGTAAAGCTAATCCTGGGTCTTGGTGGAGTCAAAAAAGAAGTATTTGAGACAACAAAGGCAAAAAGGTGGTATCTACTGACATGTTTTTATGAGAATGCTCTTCCCTCCTTTTGTGCTATGCTCTCATCCCAGGATTTCAAGGGAGATGGTAGTACATATTTATCTGTATTTCCAAATAACAGTTTGGTTAGGTGCTGTGCTTTACACACCTGTTATCTCAAGTAGAAAACAAGAGGCACAAAGTTAAGGTTACCTGGGGGCACATTTCAAAGCACAGCGGCTGCATCCGAAGTGAATTTTCTGCCTAGTTCTGAGGGTATCCTGAGAGAAAAATGGAAAATTTTTCCATTTCCAGCTGAACTGTGAGAAAGTCATAGGTGACAGAGACTTGTGTAAAAAGGAGATTCCCGTGGTTCATAACACTGACTGGAAACATAGGGGTTACCTACATAAGCCTACATGGACTCCTGTGGAAATGGACACTAACCACAATGTCACTTTCTCTTCCTTAACAGGTTATTACTTGAGCTGGATGAGACAGAAAAAGCCTTTAATCAGTTTTGGTCTGAGCATCACTTGAAGCTTCACCAATGCCTACAACTACAACACTTTGAGCGCAATTTTTATGAGGTGTTACTTTCTTGTTGAACAGAGCTTTCTTTCATGGTTTGGTGACTTCTGGTTCTCTCTTCTCCCTTGAACTCTGAATACTGAGTGTCCCTCTTCTCCCTAATCCAGCCCCCTCCTGATACCCTTGCTTCCTCATTGATTGTTCTCGTCTCCCTTTTTCAGTGGGGTAGCAGTGTTCTAGAATCCCATTTTCCTGTTGGCGTACATGGTATTTCATGTCTGTTTTATCTTCCTTTTTGACTGATAATCTGTGAATGTATCTATAATCTTTCATCTCTGTGTGTCTCGGCACTCTCCTCTCTCCACCCCTGCCCTGAGCTTAATCTAAGCGCTTATGAGCTGTAAAAAGAAAATGTATATAGAGATACACAAAAGTCCTGAATCCTTTTTGGATTTTCAAGTTTCTTAGAGTATACAAACCTATACCTCCAGAGAGGTGCTCGGGGCTTATTTCTGGATGTTCCAATGTGCCTTACAGGTTAAGCTTGCCCTGGACAATTTGCTGGCAGAGCAAGCGGAGTTTACAGACATCGGAGACAGTGTGATACGCGTGGAGCAACTTCTTAAGGAACATAAAAACCTGGAAGGAAAAGGCGAGGTTTGTTTTTTGCTGTTTTTATGAGCTGGGAAGGAAGTTGCTGTGTACAGTGACAGATCATGTCCACTCATTATTGTTGGAAGTTGCTAAAGGACACAGGAATGCCCAAATCCTGCCTTTTCAGTCTCCACTGCCACCCCAGGTGGGGTGAGGGTTCCGGTTGACTTGACTGCCTGTACAAAAGCAGCAGGAGGAAAGGTCACAATGAACACTTTATCAACCAGCAGGATGTAGGGGGTGGGAGTTGGTGGTAAGGAGGGAAAACGTGAAAAGGGGAAACCAGAAAAAAATACCAGCTGGTTTTATAACAGGCAGAATGGTGCAAAGGGGGAAACGAGTCCATATTAGTTCCGCTGCTACACAGAGTTGGCAAAGCTTTCTCCTTTCTCATGCCCCAAGAGTTGTCAGTATCAAACTTGTAAAAGAATACGTGTTTCACAATTCTCATACCAGAATTAGACAGTTTCCCAGATTTGCACACAAGTCAGCAGGTAGTAGTGACTCTATTTTAAGTCCTTATCAATTTGGGTTATTATGAATTAAGAAAGCTGAGTCTTCTCTTTCTAGAGAAGTTCCTTTTTGCTATTCTCAAATTAGATTCTCTATATTTTTGTCTTTTGGGCACCGTGTCCTTGATGATTAGCACTTCCTCTCTGAGCTTATCTAAATGCATGTTTCCCACATGGTAATTTTATAGTATTAGAGATTTGCTTCTCAAAGTGTGATCCTCTGACCAGTGCATAGATGTCACCCGAGTGAAAACTTGTTAGAAATATGGAATCTCACACCCGCCCCCAGAATTAGAATCTGCATTTTAATAAGATCCCCAGGTGATTGACATGTACATTATAGTTAGAGACATACCTTCCCCTCCCCAGAGGACAAGTAACAACTGTAAACCAGGTTCACTCTGACCCTAAGAGTTATCAGTTGTAGATTCTGAACTGGAGGTGCTTCTACACGTGCGTCAACACATGAACCCACCTGTGCACCCAGACTCTCACTCAAGAATCCCATCCTCCCTCCCTATTTAAAAAGTAATTTTAATTAACTTCAAAAAGGCAATTATTGTGAAAGGTTTTTTTTTTCCTTGTAACTCTCTCATATTAAATTTTTACTCAATAAAGATTTTCCCTCTGGACCATGAAAAAAAAAAAAAAGAATCCCATCCTCCCCTATGAGCACTCCCTCTGTTACCAGTGATCATTTGACAGCTAAACATTTTAGTACTGTAGGCATGAGTAAACAGAAACCTTTATCAAACAATAAAAAAATCGAATTTCATGTACCTGATGATGATGTGTCTCAAATTCTCTAAGACAGTCCCAATTTTACATAATTTTAGTTTTTTTTCAAGAGAACTCCTTATTAAATGTAGATACTATGTATTTTCACTTGCATATATTCATATATTAGGAAAAAAAGCCTCATCAAGCCCAGTCCTTATATTTTGGGTTTGGAAAAATATGGCCATGGCATATATATGAATGAAAGTAGCTACTGACCTGCCAGGAAGGCATTCATTCATCACCAGGTACTCCTTGTCCTAGGTTCTGTGGATATGGTGGCAAACCAGTCAAGACCCTGCTCTCATAGAGTTTACATTCTACGGGAGAGAGAGAGAGGAGGAAAAAATAATCAGATAATAATATTAGATACATGTGGTATGAAGAAAACAGGATGTAAGAGAGAGTGACTTGGGGTGCTACTTCAGCTCAGGTAGTCAGGAAAGATCTCTCTGAGAAGGTGACCTTTGATCTGAGCTCTGGATAGCCATGCAATGATTTGGGGAATAGCATACAATGCAGAGAAGCCTCAAGTGTGAAACTTTTGAGGCAAGAATGAGGTTGGTGAGTTCAAGGAATGTTGTCTGAAACATAGTGAGCCAGGAAGGAACAAGGTGAGAGCAGTCGTGGTGAGGACTGGATTTTATTTTCAGTGGAACCTAGTGAGGGGTAGTCTGGGTTGTGTTTTAAATAGTATGGCTGAGGGGCGCCTGGGTGGCTCAGTCAATTGTGTCCAACTCTTGGTTTTAGCTCAGGTCATGATCTCAGGGTTGTGGGATCCAGCCCCATGTTGGGCTCTGCACTCAGCGCAGAGTCTGCTGGAGATTCTCTCTTCCTCTCCCTCTGCCCCTCCCCCCTCTTGCACATGTGTGCTCTCTCTCTTTCTCTCAAATAAATGAATACTTTTTTAAAAAAATAATAATAAATAGTATGGCTGATCTGCATCCACTTTCTCTCTTCTGCCCCTCTTCTTGGACTTGAGATCTTTGGAACATACTTTAAAGATTGCTGACCGGAGCTAGGGGAGAAACCTATGGTCATGGGACGTAGGAATGCTTTGTGAACCCATGATTGATTTTTCACAGCCAAAGTACCAGAACCAGGTAGACTGACTCACAACAGATGACCAGCAGAGCCCAGCTATATTAGTTTTACCCATTCTGTGCCTTGCTTACCCTGTTTTTTTTGTTTTTTTTTTTTTACTTATTTTCTAAAGGATGCAGTAGACCTATTTCTCTGCCTTTAGATGAACCAAACAAAACTATCCTATCATAACCAGGACCTTTTTAACATGTTTTCCCACAGATTTCTAAAAGAGAGTGTTTCTTCAGATGATTTTAAAGGCTTGGCTAATCTTTCCATTTGTCCTGTAAAGTGTTAAAGGAATAAGGTGATGTCTGTCTAGAGTCCACCAAAACCTGCTTGGGTTTGTCCTTCACTCAGCACTCAGGGGTCAGCTTCCCTCCTGGCATAGCCACTCACTGATATCTGGGTTGTTGCCAACTTCCTTATTCTGTACAATTATATCATCCTCGTAACCTCTGAGCCAACTCACTAACCAGACGTCTGCTGCATGCTAATTGAGCCTGTTCTTTTATCTTTTTCTGGTTTGATGGTTTAGCAATTTTTTTTTTTTTTTTAGTGAGGGAGAGAGAATCTCAAGCAGGCTCCACTCCCAGTGTGGAGCCCCACCCAGGGCTTGATCCCACAATCCCAAGATCATGATGACCTGAGGTAAAATCAAGAGTTGGACGCTCAACCCACTGAGCCACCCAGGCGCCCCTGGTTTAACAATCTTTTGAAAGCTCATTTCTAATTCTGAGAAACAATGGTGGTTTCAACCCCCACTCTTACTTCTTTTAAGGCAGAATTTGCTGTAGGGTTTTGGCTATAAGGCATGCCGGGGCCCTTGGTGATGGGTCAGCAGAGAGCAGACAAGGACTGGGCAGGGGAACTAATCTGATTTTAATCTTGACCTCTCCCCACAAGACCAGGGGCCAGCAGTTATAGTACATGTCCAGGAAGGCTTGGAACCCAGATCATTAACCTCCTAGGGATGTAATCTAGCTGGAGGGGCATGACTTTTTTTTTTAATGGAAAATTTCAGACACATGCAAAAGTAGATCAACTAGTACAGTGAACTCCCATGTGTATGCTCAGTTTCCACAACCCTTAACTTTTTGCCTTTCTTGTTTCATCTGGCCCCACTTCCCCACATGTACATTTCATTCCTATGCCATTATTTGTGGGTTCATTCTGGGTTCCCTGACATAGAGCATCACCCTTTCTCATTTTCTTTCACAGTAGACATTTTCATCTTTCATATGTCATAGCAGTAGATTCTGGGGAAAAATAAACTGTTATTACACTAAGGATTTCTGAATTACATGTTGCAGCTTGACTATCCAGCCTTCTAGAATTTTTAGTATCTGAAAGATGCCAGGCTGGCCTGTGATCAGAGCACCAGATTTCAGCCATTTCTTTCTCATTATTTCTCTTTGACTTTGGTGGTTTTATCACCTGGTTTTCTTCAGCAGAAGCTATATAGATTAAGAAATAAGTTGCGATTTGGAGGTTTTACAGTAAAGTTCTTCACAGGCGCCTGAAGGATGTGATAGTCATGGCTCTTCAGCCATCATTTATAGCATATACGAGGAGGCCAAGGGGGCTGGAACGTGACAAGACACCGGCTTTGGAGCCAGACAGAACTGGATTCAAATCTCTGCTCTAACAACTACCAGCTGTGTGCCCTTAGTCACGTTTCTTAGCCTCTCTGAACAGCCCTCATCTGTAAAACTGATAATAACCATTGCCTATTCCCTGTGAAGATGAAATTAGGTAAAGGCTTCATAAGGACTGGAGCGTAGTAGATGGTCAGAACCTGGAAGCTCTTATTAGTACCCATTCATTTCAGTTGAGTGACCTTTCTGCCATCCAGTGCAGGTCCTGAGTCACTGCTCACCTCTCCTCCAACATCTCAGCGTTTTAAGAAGTTCTGAAGGGTGAGATGCTGCATGCCAAGCAAAGGGCAGGCTGTCATCACCACGAAGCGCTTGGAAAATATTCTGGGGGGGATGTTCCCTGGGCCCAGAAACCTTGTCCTGTTCTTAGTAAATTCACAGCTGGACTTAAAAAAAAAAAAAAGTCAACAGACTTCCTTGCCAAGTTTTCATGCTTCTATATTTGGCTAGAATCAGACAGGTTTGATCAAATGAAGTCCCTAAGCTTAGGCGGAACGAATGCAGCCGTTTTTCTCTGTGTGTGTTGGTCAGAACCAGGTTCCCGAGCCAAACTTCCTGACTTTGAAGCCTGGCTCTTCCCTTTCCTACCTGGGTCACTTTGGGCCATTTTTGCCTCTACTTCTCCTTTGTTAAATGGGGCCTATGTCAAAGGGTTTGTTGCAAGGAGTAAAAAGAAACAGTTAATTTAAGCATGGCATATAGAAGGCTCTCTGAATATCAGCTGTTGTCACAGAGGTAACGGCAAATTCTGTGCTAAGGAATGTTTCTTAGGTTCAACCTGCAGTGGCCGAGCAGTTCTAGTAAGAGCGTCTCACCCATTCTTCATTCATTTTGCAAGTATTTGTTGATCTACTATGCCAAGTCCTGTTCTAGGTTATGTGGACACAGCAGTGAGGAAAACAGTTAAAAATCACCATCTGAGGAATTAGCATTCTAGTCTTTTCCCAGGGATGGCAACCAGTGCATTATGCACTGGGTCTTTATCCCTGAGTTCCTTTAAAATAGCCACTGCTTGACCTGTGTCACTTTATTCCTGTATCATTACTCAGTTTTGTTTTACACAACAATCATTTATTCTTAAGTACCTAATTTGTACCATGGACGTCTTAAGTTGCATAAGAGCTGGTGCATGCTCACAAGGGTCCACAGCATAATGTGGGCAATAGATCAGTGATCACAATACAGCGAAGTACCTGCTCTGATCAAGAAAGGGCACAGAGCATTATGGGAGCACAGAGGAGGGGCATCAAAATAAAATGGTAGAGTTGAGAAAGTTTCCTGGAGAGGATGCACTCTGGAGGGTGATGCAGTTAGCTCCAGAAGAGGGCAGGTGCATCAGGAGGTGGGGGATGGAGACATGGGAATGGGGGTGGCCAGGGAAGGAGGGCTCAGAATTTGAAAGTTGTTAAGAAGGATGTGGGTTCTGCAGGGCTTGGTGAATGACTGGCCCAGGACGGGGCGGGGGGGGGGGGGGGGGGCGGCAGTGTCTTAGAGATTGTTGAAACCATAAACCCCTGTAAGTTAAGAGAGGGGCAGGATGTCATCACCTGGAGTCATAACTCCTTGTGTTACTGTAAAAAGTTAAACCAGGGCAAATGTGTCTCACTGGGATGTGCAACATTGTCAGCAAGAGTGCACATGGAAGTCATCTGTATTCACTCACAGGTCAATGTTGTTTCACACAATTCCAGCCAAGTATATCACTGTGTCTTCTAGTTCCCTGGTTAATTCATTTTATTGATCAAATATTTATGAGATACTTCTATACTTTCATGGAGCTTGTATATTGGTAGGAGTGCGTGGAGGAGGAAAGAATCATAAGTGAAAGTAAACAAAGAAGGTAAGTTCAGGTAGAGGTAAGTGCTGTTAAAAAAAAAATGAAACTAAAGGGAGAGAGAGGGCCTGGGCAGGTGGGTTGCTGGGAGTGACTTAGATAGTGTAGTCAGAGAAGGCCCTGTGAAGAGGTGAGCCAAGAATTTACCTGAATGACCCTATGTGAAGCATCCTGGGGAAGGACCCTGAGGCAGGAGCTAGTTTGGTTGCCATCCTTGTTTAAACCATGCCTCCTACCTGGATTATTGCAGTAGCCACCAGCTGGTCTCCTTGCTTTGCCTCTTCTCTGTCATTCTCAACATTACAGTAGGAGCAATTCTTTTAAAAATATGAGCCCTCCTCACAGCCCTCCAGGGCTTCCTACACCACACTGAGTAAAAGCTGAAGTGCTCAGAATGGCATCGGTGCCCTCCCCAACCCAGGTTCCCTCTTTCTCCTGATTACGTCTCCTATTCCTTTCCAGCTTGCATCCTCTGTTCCAGCCACAGTGGCCTCCTCCTGCTACCTGGAACATGGCAAACATGCCCCCACCTTTCAGCCAAGTACTGCATGGTTTGTCCCTCACTTTTGGCCTTGACTTCTGTATCAAGGGTTCCCAGGTTCACACTCAGATTTGAAGATTTGCTAGGGGGCCTCACTGGACTCAGCATGTAATTATACTCACGTGGTTATGATTTATTACAGTGAAAAGATACCAAGCAAAATCAGCATGGGAAAATGCATGGGGCAAAGTCTGTTGGGAACCAGATACAAACTTCCAAGATTGCTCTCCCAGTGGAGTCCCATGAGATCCTGATCCCCTCCAGATTCCGCCCCCCGCCCCACAAAGGGTTGTGACACCATTGTAAGATGTTATCTATCAGGAAAGCTCATTAGGGGCTCAGTGCCCAGTTTTTATTGGGGACTGGTCATGTAGGTAGCCTCTGCCTGCCATATACCAGAATTCCATACTCCCAGAAAGAAAGTAGGGATATAGTATAAAGCATGTTTTTTGCACAAACAGTTAAGGCATGGTGAGCCATTCTTGTCAGGGGATGATATGTACCCTCCTGACATTCCTAGATGGCACCCAAGGGCCAACCTTGCAAGCAGGCTTTGCAAGGCCAACAGTCTTAGGCTTATGTTATATTATGTTGTGTTATGTTATGTTAACATTTCTGCACTGCTTGGATGGCTTGCTTGCTTGCTTGCTTGCTTTCTTTCTTTCTTCCTTTCATTCATTCTTTCTTTCTTTCATAAATATTCAATTTATTGAAGTAACAATAAAGTTGAGTTTTTCCTTAAGCTTTCAAGTTCAGCTACAAATCTTTTTCTTCCTTTTTTCCCCTTTCTAAAAAAAAATTGAAATTCAGTTAATTAACATAATATATTATTTGTTTCAGGGGTACAGGTCTGTGATTCATCAGTCTTATATAATACCCATTGCTCATTACAACACATACCTTCCCCAGTGGACATTGTGGATGGCACTTTCTTAGCGAACCCTTCTCTCCCCCATCCTACTTAAAATGGAACCTCCTCCACCAGCATTCCCTACCCTCCTTTCCGTTTGACCTTTCTCTATAGCATGCATCACTAACTAAGATATTATATAATCTACACATCTAATTGTTTATTGCCTGTGTCTCCTATTAACATGTAAGCTTCATGAGGGCAGGGATTTTTGCTTCCTTGATTACCACCAAACCCCTAGCACCTAGGACAGTATTTGGCACATGGGAGATCCTCAGTAGTATGTGATGAATGAATTAAAAATAGATAAACATGGGGGCACCTGGGGGCTCAGTTAGTTAATGTCTGACTCTTGATTTTGGCTAAGGTCATGATCTCAGGGTCGTGAGATTGAGCCCCACATCAGGCTCTGCGCTGGGCATGGAGTCTGCTTAGGATTCTCTCTCCCTCTCTTAAAAACAAAACAAAACAAATAAACACGGCACATGGGGTTAGAACAAAGCAAGCCATGCCGAGAGAGGTAGGGGGCGTGGTTGCTGGGCAGATGAAGTCAGAGCAAACTGGGATCCTGGATCTTGTGAGTTGCAGGAAGGGGTTTACATAAACATATTTCTTAAGTCTCATGATCCCCCACAGAGTTGTCCAAACCAGATCTTTACTGTTTTCCCAAATTCAGCTGACTCTTCTCTCTACTCAGGGCCCCATATCTGATCCTTTACTTTTCCATTTAGTTGACAGGGGAATTCAGAGTCTCCAGTTCTGGTCAGTAGAACACTTCATGCTCTTCTGACAAAAATTCCAACAGTTGTAATAGTTGAATTATTGGTATTATTTATTTAGTAATTTGAGTTCTCCATTAGATTGAAAATCATAGCTTGTTAACCAAATCCTCAGTGCCTAGCCCAGAACTCAACAGACATTTGAATGAGTGGTTTGCTTTTCTTCAGAGTGCAGGTGACCCTGGACTAGGATAGACTTCTTGGAGACCTTGAACTTCGACACAGCTTTCCCAGGTTCTGTAGCCGCGACTCTCAGCCTAAGACCTGACATCTCCCTAGGCTCCCTCCAGGTTTGGAGCACACGGTAGGCAAATATCAGCCTCACCATGACCTGGCTTCTGATGCTTGGCTGTGGATGTTCACTTCACAGGAGCCCTTGGAAAAGGCCCAGCTGCTTGCAATAATTGGGGACCAGCTCATCCAAAGCCACCACTATGCAGTCGACTCCATCAGACCCAGATGTGTAGAGCTCAGGCACCTCTGTGATGACTTCATCAATGAAAGCAAGAAAAAGCATGACATTTTAGAGAAGTCCTTGGAGTTGCATAGACAGCTGGACAAGGTGAGCACAGCAAAGTCACGACCATGATGTCTGCTACATTTTCTGTACCAGAGTTTTAACCATACTCATCCTCTCTGCCCTACAGAATTGCTGAGAGGATAATTACTTCATGGAAAATAGTGCTCGAGAGGCATTAAAAACTATACAGATTCTAGGTCAGGGAAGTATTGGAAGTCAAAAGTGCCCTCACCATCCCACCATATCCCATTAGAATGAACAAATGTTCATTTTCCTCTATGTGGACCTAGACTTAGAGTGTGTTTTGGCCTGGGCCCATGATTCCCTTTCAGGCAGAGAGCGAAGCACTATATTAACAAAGTGCTTCTCTTTATGTAGAAACATTAATCCTTTTGGAGAAGCTTAAGTAATAATGACCATTATACACTCCTACCATTTATTGAGCACATACTATATCCCTGCAGGAAACATAATTATGTCATCTACTCAATCCTCAATAAAACCTATGAGGAAGGTATTAATGGCATTATTTTATAGAGGCAGAAACTGATATTCAGCGTGGTTAAATCAGTGGTTCACAACATTTTTTTAAAAAGATTTTATTTATTTATTTGACAGGGACACAGCGAGAGAGGGAACACAAGCAGGGGGAGTGGGAGAGAGAGAAGCAGGCTTCCTGCAGAGCAGGGAGCCTGATGTGGGGCTCAATCCCAGGACCCTGCATCATGACCTGAGCCGAAGGCAGACGCTTAATGACTGAGCCACCCAGGCGCCTCTGGTTCACAACATTTAATACATGAGAACCAGTTTGCTAGAATTGCAGATTCTCTAATGTGCCATTCCGGAGACTCAGATTCAGTAAAGTCTAGGATGATGCCCAGGAATCAGTATTTTCACCAAGTTTCCAGGTGACTCTGGTGCAGGTGGTACAGGGACGACACTGAGCAACTGTGGGATAAGTGATTGCCCACGACCACCCCTGGGGTAAAAATAGGAGATTGCGGATTTGAAGTCAGGACTGCCATATTCCAAACCCCAGGCTCCCTAGACTAGACAGCAACACTGTGTGCAGAGGGCTCACAGGGAAGGGGCACAGCCCCTGCTGCCCTTCAGTGGTGATCTCTGGGGCAGGTGTCTGGGGCAGTGACTTCTGGAGCTTTCCCTGTCAGCTGTTTGCAGGCAGCATGTGACTCATAGCCATGAGTCAGCATACTCCATTCCCATAGCTGTTTCTCTGTGATGGCTGGGGGCACACACCCAGGCTGTTTATGTCATCCCAATGCAAAAGGGATTGTAATGTCAATGAAATACAACTGTTCCAGAAGGAAGTGGCTCAGAAGGGCCTGGTCCACAGCCTGCTCTGTGTGCTGAACTCTGCAGGATCAGCTATGGTTTTCCTCATTCCATTTCTGCTCCGGAGATAATAGCCTAATGCTGATGTGTGGAGCGTGTGTGTGTGTCTGGGAGAGTAAGTATCCGCTGTGATTCTGTGGAAGAACCCAACTTAATGTTTTCTATAGATCTAGGCATGATGTTTCAAGAGAAATATATCAAAGCATGTATATATCATGCATATAGAGTATATATCTAAAATTATAGAGTATATATTAAAGCATGATTTACATTATTTTGAAAATCCAAAAATGTAGGAAGGAGGAAGAAAAAAGTTACTATGGACACCTACACGTCCCATTCCCTTCCTCATCCCTACACAGAGATAATCATTAATTTTTAAATATATTATGTATTCTAAAAGTAGTACACATTCAATGTAAGTAATTTAAAGGAAAAAATAAAGACAAATAGAAGTTGCCTATAATTTTCCCTCTTAGAGCTAACTACTTTAGAGTGCTCCCTTTTGCTCTTTTCCCCCTGTATGGTTATTTTATGTAGCTCTTCAGGTCACATGGTAAATGGAAATGCAGCCATACTTGCACTGGCGCTTCTTTCCATCTTTCCACATAAATATTCAGGCAGCACAAGGGCCCCTTTCTGTTTAAGTCTTTTAAAAATTGAATTGTTAGAGTTCATCACCTATCTGATTCCATCCCAGCATCCTGGAAAGTTTGAATATTGCTGTCCTGAGTTACAAAGCTTTGCATTCTTGGATGCTTCTCTAGGACAGACAAATGCCAGTAAATGCAAATGTGGACAGAGGAAAGTAGTGTTTTTGTTAAGAGGGACACTCTAATGCCCCATTTGTCACCCTATGCTCTTATAATCAATTAGGATACAAGATGAGTAGCCTAGAAGGCAAACCTGAAAAGTCATTGGTCACATTCCTCGATGGTTAGGCCAAATTTAGGAATACCTAACTCTTTTGGAGATGTAGCAATTACTGTCAGTGGAAAAGAGAGGAATGTTTATACAAGTCTTCTTACTGACTGGATGACTTCCCTGAGAAATGGACAGACATAAAATTAGTTTGGGTTTGTCCACCGTAGAGTTGTGTTAGCAGTGGTTAGACTTACTGAACTTTATGCTGTCCCACAACAATTTTCCATTGTCTCAGGATCCTTCTAGACCACAGATAAACTCAGGCGTCCTGAGGGTTGTGGTGGCTGAGTTGTGGTCAGGCTGACGGCGTAGGGCACTGTGTTTCTTTTGAAAGGTCAGCCACTGGTGTGAAGCAGGAATCTACCTTTTGGCTTCCCAAGCTGTAGACAAATGCCAGTCACGAGAGGGCGTTGACGTTGCCTTGAACGACATTGAGGCATTCCTGGGTACGGCGAAGGAGTACCAGTTGCCCAGTCACATGGAGTTTTACAGCCAGTTTGAGTTGATACTCACCATTGACGTCAAGGTAATGTTTCTGGGTTATTTTAATCTTGTGGTTGGAAAGGAAGCACTGGGTGGCTTTTGCCTATTGCTTAAGAAAGTCCAGGTAGAGTGTACTGAGCAGGCTCACCAGTTCCTGAGTCTCAGGTGGCATCCTAGCCTCTGTGCTTCCTGTCAATCTGACCCTTCATGGTCTGACCCAAATATCACCTTCAGTCATTCGTTTCTCTCCAGATGCTTATTAGCATCTCTGATGTATCATGCACTGTGCTGAGGACACAGCAATGAGAAGAAATAGACATGGTTCCATCCCTGATGGAACTTAGTGGGAGAGGCTGACATTAATAAATGTCAAACACAAAACATAAGAATGTGTTACAAGCTGAGGTAAGTACTCTGAAGGAGAGATTTAGGATCATGTGATAGAAGAACTTGACTTTGATTGGGGATCACTTGAGCCAAGTCCTGGAGAATGAGTAGAGATAATGGGGGAGCCTTTCCAGACCAGAAGTAATAGCATGTACAGAGGACACAGGGCTGGAGGGAAGCTGGCACAAGTGCAGAACCCAAAGGCCAGGGTGGCTGGAGTACAGAGAGCAAACAAAGGGTGTTTGGGGTGAGATAAGAGAGGGGCAGATGAGGCAGAAGTTTATGGGCCACATTAAGGAGTTTGGTTTTTATTCTAAGAGCAGTGGGAAGCCACTGAAGGATTTAAGCAGGGGAATAAGTTGATTGGATTTGCATTTTGAGAGGAGCACTGTTCTATGAAGTCAGCAGAATTATGGATAGCACATCTGCCTCCGAGATTCACATCACCTTGTGTGTATCTCTCCTGTAGGACCTTCTTTACTTCTTTTTTTTTTTTTTTCTCGGTTCAAGTTTAATAGAAACAAAAGACAAAACGTGATGCCCTGCTACTGTACATACAGTTGGCCTGCTCCATAACAGCTCAGGCCCTTCTCTCCAGAAAAGAAAGGCTGGCCTCCCCAACCCCTGCAGAAAAGGCCTGTCCTGTCCCCATACCACATCTGCACAGTCTAAAGTCTTATGTTCTAAGCATGACAATAATACAAGAGAGATTTTGTTTTCATGGCCACCCACTGCAGCCCAGCCCTAAAATGACCCGGCGCTCACTTCTGCTTAGAGAAATATTCTTTGCTCTTCTGGACATCAGGCTTGATGGTATCACTGCCAGGCTTCGAGCCAGCTGGGCACACTTCCCCATGCTTGTCAGTAAACTGGAAGGCCTGAACCAGTCGCAGAGTCTCATCCACAGAGCGGCCTACAGGAAGGTCATTTACCGTGATCTGCCTAAGGATACCTTTATCGTCAATGATAAAGAGGCCCCTGAAGGAGATGCCTTCATCAGCCTTTAAGACTCCATAGTCCTGAGCAATGGTGCGCTTGGGGTCTGATACCAAGGGAATGTTCATGGGTCGCAGTCCTCCTTGTTTCTTGGGTGTGTTGATCCATGCCAGGTGACAGAAATGAGAATCCACAGAAGCACCAGTCACTTGACAGTTGAGTTTCTTAAATTCTTCTGCCCTGTCACTGAAAGCAATGATCTCCGTGGGGCACACAAAGGTGAAGTCAAGAGGGTAAAAGAACACAATGTATTTTCCTTTGTAGTCAGATAGGCTGAGATCTTTGAACTGGCCATCTGGCATAACAGCCGTGGCTATGAAGTTGGGGGCAGGATGCCCAATTTTGGCATTTCCCGAAGACATCTTGCTATCAGCGGCTCTGAGAGCAAAAAGGCCGAAAACAAGGCAGGAAGAAGACGCCGGACCTTCTTTACTTCTTTTGAGCCACAGAATCTGATTCACATGCTTTCAGCGTTCTTGCATACTCAAAGTGATTGAAGGGAGTTTGAGGTAGGCACTTTTTACCAAGATATGGGCAGGATTTAGGGAACCCAGTAGGGATAGTGAAGGTCCCTGGGGCTACTAGCAAGAAACAGGAAGCAGTTACCACCCATACACGTAAAGGGCAAAAGAGAACCCAGGAAGCGCTGTAGCTGTGACTGTGAGAGGCACTAGTAAGGGCTGTGGCCTTGGCCAGAGGGATGCAACCACCGATGGGGGAATATATATCCCTAGTCTCCTCGCTGTCTCTTTTGGATTTCCTGGTAGTGCTTCCTATTGGCCAAGGCAATTAAAAGCCCATGGGCAAGTGAGCCTATTCAACAGAGTCTGTAGAGGTCAGCTTCCTGGGACACAGAGCTGGGAAAAGAAGATGTAGTAGGGTGACAAATAGGGAATATCCAGCATATATAACTTTTATAATTAATTTTATGGGATACCCTAAAATCCAGCCATGGATTCAGGCTAAGAGCCTTTGCTGTAACATGTTACATCCCATACTGTATTCTACTTATTTACTCTATTTTTTTTTTAAAGATTTTATTTATTTATTTATTTGACACAGAGACACATAGCAAGAGAGAGGGAACACAAGCAGGGGGAGTGGGAGAGGAAGAAGCAGGCTTCCCACGGAGCAGGGAGCCTGATGTGGGGCTCGATCCCAGGACCCAGGACCCAGGACCCATGACCTGAGCCGAAGGCAGACACTTAACGACTGAGCCACCCAGGCACCCCTACTTGTTTACTTTAAACGTCTGTCTTGCTTATTACACTGGGAGCTCCTGAAGGGCAGGAGCCTCATTTATCTCTGTGTCCCTGTGCCTAGCCTTTGCCTGGGGTCCAATCCATATTTGCTGAGCAAGTGGGCAGGCAGGTGGCAGAGTGGACCAAGTACAGTGGGGGCAGCTCAGTGTAGAGTTGTACCTTAATGATGTTCTTTCCCTGAAACCTTTTGATGGTGAGGTGTGATCTTGGTAAGGGGTGGGGGATGGGCAGGCAGACACCTTCCCCCAACACAAGGACTTCCTTGCAGAGGGAACAAAGGGACAGCCCTCTGGTGGAGGTTCTACACTGCAGACCCAGTGTTGGTAGCTCCAGGTCAGATTCCTAACGCAGGATAGTCTCACCCAGCTCCAACTCCATTAGCTGCTCAAATGAGTGTATTAGGTCAACCAGGGAGATTTGTGGCTACAGCTGCTGTTCTGGCCAACTTCAGCAAACTTCCTGGCCATACCACCTACCAGGAAATAAATAAAACTTAATAAACCATCTTTGGAAAATAGGCAGAAACATGGAGGAAGGAGAGGATTATAAGAGAAATATTTTTTTTAAATCCTATATGTCAAATGGATCAAAATAGCCCCAAACCCATCTTTCCTTCTTTTGGTTTGGAGTAAAATTTTAGGTTATAAGACTTAACTATCCTGTTGTGTCAGAGAAAAGTTTTGTCCACTGAGAAGTAATGACTTTGTTGTCAAAACTGGTACTCTATACGTATAGAAATATTCCTAGATATATGTATATGTAGATATGGTACAGACACATGTGTCTTTTTATTTCGACAATTGAGATAGCCTAGAAGCAGACACCCCCCGGTGTCAATGAGCACATCTAGCACTGAGATCTTGGTTTCTAATACCATTCTTCAATAAAAGACTCCTGAGCTCCTTGGAGAAATGGCTGATTCTAGGACTGGGGTAGGGAATATACAAGATGATCCTAGAGCATCTTGTAGTGTCAGAAGGAACTACTAAAAACAAAATAACAAACCACAGTGATGGGACATAGGCAGCAACTGAAAAGAACCCCCATGGCCAATACTAGAACAATTTGAGCAATAAAGTTAATAACGTAGTTTTGGATTACAGCCCAAATTATAAAATACATATCCATGAATCCATGCTCTTATAAATAAATGATGGAATAAATAAATAAATAAATAAATGGGGCAGAAGAAACTAATCTCCCATGCAGAAGCATTCTAAATTATTTATGTAGTTACTTTGCCCTCAAGGAGGTAGAGCATAATTTCCCAACCCTTAGATGTGGTCTGTACACAGTGACTTCCTTTCAAAGAATACAGTATGGGGAGGGAGAAACAAAAAGTGACTTTATGGTGAAGTTACTTTACATACATGACCTCAGCTAGGTGACATAGGTCAACATCAGCAGTGTTGTCATGCAGATATGATGTACTTTGATATGATATGATGAACATGACACTTTATTTCCATGATCTTACCCCCACAACCCATAGCTCTGGGCTAATTATGAGAAAAGCATCAGATAAATCCCAACCAAGGGACATGCTACAAAATATCTGACCAATACTCCTCAAGATAGTCAAGGTCATCAAAAACCAGGAAAAGCTGAGAAACTGTCACAGCCAAGAGGAATCTAAGAAGTCATGACAACTACATGTAATATGGTGTCCTGGATGGGACCCTGGGGGGAAAAGTACATTAGGTGAAATAAGTTTTAACTAATTCTAAGTTTTAACTAATTTAACTAAGTCTAACTAATGTACGGACTTTAATAATAATAATAATTTATTTTAATAATAAAGATAGCAATCAATATTATTTTATTAATTATAAGAAATATACCATACTAATGAAAGCTCTTAAGATAGGGGAAACTGGGTGGTCTTATATGGGAACTCTGTGTACTATTTTGTACTTTTTTCTGTAATTCTAAAACTATTTGAAGAAGTAAAATTTATTTCTAAAACGCTGGTACTCTATGTCTAAACAATTGAATCTGTTACATTTAAGACATAGTGATCATCAAAACTACATCTACAATTAAACTATTGTTCTTGTAGCAGGCACCCTGTCTGTCTTGAGGCTCTTCAAGTGCTTTTCTGCAATACCTTGCTACTCCACCACCCTCTTGGTGCTGCTGTTTTGATTTTTCTCCCTTGTTCACTTTCACCACCCAGTCTAGAAAATGAAACAATTGAAGTAACAAATTGCAACATTCAATTCTTTAAATATTCACTGGGAACCCAGTTTGTACTTTGTTCCAGGACTACAATAATGAAAGTCACAGTTCCTGTAATGAAGGGGGTGGCAGTTAAGTGGAAGACAAACATGTCCCCAGTAAGTGCCTATTGGTCCAAGAGCATGGAATGGAAGAGACAGTGGGGCACGTAGGGGAGGTAAAGGTCAGCTCAGCCTGGGAGGTCAGGGTGTTCATAGGAGAAGATGCCTGAATTTGGTCTGGAAGATTGGGTAGGAGTTTTCAAGGGAGACAAAGCAGAGGGAGGGAACCTCAGCAGAAGGAAGAGGCGGTGCAAAGGCAGAGAGACTGGAAAGAAGAACATTCCTGTAACTGCCATAGCTGGAGGCTAGAGGTAGTGGTGGGGACTAGTGGAAGTTAGACTGGACCGAAATCAGGGTAGTTAATGAAGGGTCCAGTGTTTCATGAGGAGTCTGGACTGTATCCCAGCAGGGCATTTAAACAAGGAAGTTATCCAGGAAAGCTAATTCTGATTGTGGTATGGAGAATGGATTTGCAAGTAAAAAGAGGAAAGAGGAAAGGAGGGGATGCAGTTGTTAATCTTGCCCCAATTTCCCCCTCTTCTGAGCTGAGGGATTTAGGGTTTCTTCTGACCACCTCACCATTTCCAGGGTTCACCCTGGGATCTTAAGGGAGAGATGCAAAAGGGCAAAGGTGATTCAAGTCCTGTCCCGTCCAAGTGGTGAGCCAGGGGCTCCAGCATGTGGCACTGACCTCACATCAGGGCTGTATACCATACACCACTGATCTGACAGTCATGGCGGTCAGATTTCTTTTGTGCAGATATTTGTGCAGCAGTTAACACCTGTGACTCAGTTTCCTAGCTTATCACTGGGCTGGCCACCAAGTCTCATCACCATTACCCCAGAAACACAAACTGACATTGCCTAATCCTGACATAAGGGGATTTGGTTTCTTTTGGGATCTGGACTCAGCTGTTTTGTCAGAACCTCTAGTTGGCTGTACAACTGAGCTTCCTGAGGCCAGAAGCACATTCTCTGAAGAGATATTTTATTTTTATTTTTTTATTTTTTTAAAGATTTTATTTATTTATTTGACAGAGAGAGAAACAGTGAGAGAAGGAACACAAGCAGGGAGAGTGGGAGAGGGGGAAGCAGGCTTCCCGAGGAGCAGGGAGCCTGATGCGGGGCTTGATCCCAGGATTCTGGGATCCTGACCTGAGCTGAAGGCAGACACTTAAGGACTGAGCCACCCAGGCATCCTTGAAGAGACCTTTTAAATACAAGCCCCACCTTAATCTAGATTAGGGATCTGCAAACTATAGCGTGTGCACCAAAACTGCTTGCCACCTACTTTTATAAAGTTTTATCAGAACACAGCCATACTCATTCATTTATGGAGTATATGTTATCTCTGACTGCTTTTATGCTACAACATCAGAGGTCAGTAGTTGTAGCAGAGACCTGAAGGTCTGCAAAGCCTGAAATACTTACTCTTTGGTCCTTTACAGAAAAATTTTGCTGACCCCTAGTCCAGACCAACACCGTGCAATAGAAATATAATGCCAGCTGTATATGTGACTTAAGATTTTCTAGCAGCCACATTTAAAAAAGTGAAGAGAAACACGTGAAATCAATTTTAATAATGTCTTATTTAACCTATATCCAAAATGCTTATAATCAATATCAAAAGTTATTAATGAAATATTTTACATTCTTTTTTCATTCTAAATCCTCAAAATCTGTTGTGTGTTTTACACTAATGGCACAGCTCAGTTCAGACCAGCTGCATTTTCGGTGCTCAGTAACCTCATGTGGCTAGTGGTTGCTGTATCAGACTGCCCAGGTCTGTACTCAGACCCTACGAGGACTGAGACCAGCACTAGATGTTGGAGGAGAGGTCAGCCTTGACAGGACCCTCAGGCTGTAGGCAAACGGTTGTTCCATAACTGACAGGGTAGTCCTCCCTCAGGGCTCTTGGCTCTTGCCCTCAGAAGATGGCCCAGCATAAAAAAAAGCCACACTTACTTTTCTACTTGCGAAATGTGTCGACCTCCCCAAGTGTGTGCTGAGCCTGTACTTTCAGGATGAGGCATCCTCAGAGCATGCTGCATGGCTTGTGGTGGTTGAGCTCTTCTAATTTGGGGTCCTTTCCTTAGTGGCTAAAATCATTCAGGAGACAGATGTTAGATGTGAGATGTCTGACATCCGTCACAGTTGGCATGACAAAGAAAAGACTACCCACTTCCCTTGATCCGCCAGAGGTCAGAGGCCAGAAGAAACGTACTTAGCTAAATTTAGGCCTTGGTGAAATTCGAAGACTTCCAGGCCTTATTTCTTATTCTCTTGGATCTCTGCCTTAGACCATATAGTCAGTTATGGGAATGTCTGGGAGTTTCATCTTACCCTTGGTATTTTTTCAGCTTACTTCTTTACTACTCATGAATAGAGAAGGGGTCCCACAGAATAAAATTTAAATGTTTCTCCTAGGGTATTTGGGATTCCCTTGATCCTGCCTCAGTATATAGCCAACTCTTTTCCCCAGAACATTTAAACTCTTTTCTGCTTCAGGGCCTTTATTCAGGGTTCACCTCTTATTTTGAAACCTTCCTGTTTTGTAAAGTGGCCTAATGTCCTTTATTCATAGTCTGTGGCATCTTCCTCTACTACTGATGGACGTGGCTTCGTGAACATTTATCCACTCAATATATATTTACTGAGCACCACTCTGTGCTAGGCAGTGTACTAGGCATGGAGATACAGTAGTGAAAAGGATATGATCGTTGTCCATCAAGTGAGAGATGCAGACTCGCAGAATCACAATTCTGGTGCAGGGCGAGTTGTGCCATGACTTGCATATGGATGGAAGGGTCACCTGAAGGAAGTGAAATTGGGGGAAGAGGGGAAGAAAGGAGAAACGGAAAGCTTCATGTCCTCAGGCTCAGTGCAGAGTAACCTAGTCATGATTTGCTTTCGTTCCTGCAGACCAGAGCCCAGGAAGTCCTGCAGAAGCTGGGAGATGTGCAGGAAATATTTCACAAGAGGCAAATGAGTCTGATGAAACTGGCAGCCAGACAGACTCGCCCAGTGCAACCTGTGGCCCCCCATCCTGAGTCCTCCCCAAAATGGGTGTCACCGAAAACCAGCCAGCCCTGCACCTTAGGTAGGTTATTTGGGGGGAGGACTCTTTGTGCTCTTATGTTTCATCAGTGCTTATGAGGGTTGAGATTGTGCCTGTTTAAGATGCATAATGGTTGTTTTGACAAATATTATTTAAAATAAACCATAGATATGGAATAGTACAGGCATTGAAGACTATAGAGTTAGATAAAACTGAATACCTGTGTACAAGGAGACACTCACAGTCTAGAGGAGGAATAATATAAATGTGCAAATAACATCAGCATGAAATAGACTCCATTAAGGACCTTTAAAATGCTCACAAGATTCTATTATCAGTCCAGTGGTAAAGTTGGTTCTTTGTAAAGATAAAAACAATAGCTAAGTCCTTATACCAGTCCTGCATGGTCTTGATTATGAAAGCTTATTAGTAAGTCTTGAGATCAGGTAGTGTTAAGTCTTCCAACTTTGTTCTTTTTCAAGATTATTTTGGCTATTTTAGGTCCTTTCTATTTCCATATAAATTTCAGAATCACTTTTTAATTTCTGCTGAGATTATGCTTTAGGTTGCACTAAATTTATAAATCAGTTTGGGGAGAATTGTTATCATACCAGTATCAAATCTTACAATTCATAAATGTTATAACTGTCTGTTTATTTAGGTCTTCTCTAATTTCTCTTGGCAGTATAGAAGTTTTTTGGTTTTGGTTTTGGTTTGTTCTTTTTTAAAATTTTTATTTAAGTTCCAGTTAGTTAACATACAGTGTAATATCAGTTTCAGGTGTGCAATATAGTGATTCAGTACTTCCATACATCGCCCGGTGCTCATCAGAGCAAGTGCTCTCCTTAATCCCCATCATCTGTTTAACCCATCCCCTGCCCACCCCCTCTGGTAACCGTCAGTTTGGTCTCTACAGCTTGAGTCTGTTTCTTGGTTTCCCTCTCTCTCGTTTTTTCCCCTTTGCTCATTTGATTTGTTTCCTAAATTTCACATACGAGTGAAATCATATGGTATTTGGCAGTATAGTAGGTTAGAGTGTAGAGGTCTTAGCATTTCATGTTTTTTAAAAAACTATATTAAATGGAACTTACCATATTTAACTATCAATAGGAATATATTTCTGTATAAGATACAATCAGGTCAGCTGTGAATAGAGACCTTCTGTTTCAATCTTTATGCTTTTTTCCCCTTGCCTTAAATGGCCGAAAACTCCAGTACAGTGTTGAATAGACATGGTGAGAGCAGACATCCCTGTCTTTTCCCAATGTTAAGGCAAAGAGTTCCTTTTTTACTTTAAAGTATGATGTTAACAGTAAGTTTTTCACAGAGGCCTTTTATCAGCTTGAGGAATTTCCCTTCCCTTCCTAGTTTGATGAGAGTTTTCATCATGAATGATTGTTGACTTTTTCAGATGCTCTTTTTGGTGCATCTATTGAAATGATTATATAGTTTTTCTCCTTTATTTGTTAATATGGTGGGTTACAATGATTTATTTTCAAGTGTTAAAACAATTGTACATTCCTGAGGTAAACAACTCTTGGATATGTATATATGTTATTTGTTACTCTGTTATTTGAAACTCTGTTATTAAGCACATACATGTTCATAATTGTTATGTCTTCCAGATATTCTGGCCCTCTTCTAATTAGGAAACATCTCTCCTTCCCTCCTTATCTTTAGTAATACTCCTTGTCCTGAAGTCTATTTTGTCTGATATTAATATAGCATTCCAGCTCTCTTATGTTTAGTGTTTGCATAATAGATTTTTTTCCATTCTTCTATTTCTTTGTTTTTAAAGTGTATCTCTTGTAAGATATGCTTATATTTGGGTCTTGACTTTTTTTTAAAAAAAGATGTTATTTATTTGAGAGAGAGCATGCACAAAAGAATGCATGGAGGGTGGGGGGCAGAGGGAGAGGGAGAAGCAGGCTCCCTGCTGAGCAAGGAGCCCCAGGCAGGGCTCAGGGCTCAATCCCAGGATCCTGGGATCATGACCCAAGTGGAAAGCAGATGCTTAACTGACTGAGCCACCCAAGCGCCCCAATTGGGTCTTTACTTTTTAATACATTCTGTTAACCTCTGCCTTCTGATTGGAGTATTTAGTCCATTTATATACAATGTAATTATTGATATAGTTGGATTTAGAGCTATAATTTTGTTATTTGTTGTTTATTTTCTCATTTTTTCCTTCTGTTCCTCCTTTTCTGTCTTCTTTTGGGTTAGCAATTTTTTTTAGTGTTCTATTTAATTCTTATCATACCTCTTTGCGTTGTTTTTCTCAGATATATGCTTATGTATAGTCTTTTATATTTTATATATAGTCTTTTACAACTACTCTCTTAGTCATTTCCAGTGTTCTTTTTATTCCTTATTGTAGATCTGAATCATCAGTTTGTGTCATTCTCTTCAGGCTGAAGAACTTCCTATGCATTTCTTGTGCAGATCTGTTGACAAGAGATTCTTTTGGTTTTTATTTATCTGAAAATTATGGGGTCTTGGTAATTCTCCATTTCGTTTGGTTTACAGTTCCCTGTAGCCCATCACATATTGCACTTTTTAGAAGCAAGCCTTGATAAGAGTTTAGTGCATTTTTTTCTTGAATTTTCTGTGTGCGCACACACATACACACACACTCAACACACACAACCATGCACACTCAATACACTTATGCACACATCCTGCTCACACAAACAGATACTCACACACATAGAGACATCTTTTTGAATGGCTAGAAATAGGACTTGGTTCTCCTTAATCTCATTTAGGGCTCTTTCCCAAAACTAAATTATGCTCACTCCTGTGATTTTTCCTATGTCTTTGTTTTAAGGGATATATGTTTGTTACAAGTAAATAAAGCAGGAATGATAGCTTGTTTCTCTCTCTCTTTTTATTCTTTTTTCACAAGATCTCATAATGGACAATGACCCTTCAGCATAAATAGATCCCTGTCATGTCTGAACAGGTATCATTGACTTTGGCCAGACATCTTGCTCATTGTGCAGAACAATTCTGCACTTTTGTTTTGGATAGTAACTGCTGAGTATGGATTCAGGCAAGTCACTAACAGGATTTTCAAACACATTTTATCTGATTCCTTAGTAACTGAGTCTGTTCCAAGATAAACCATTATATTTCATAGTGTAAAGAACGTGAGGGAGCTGGAATCTTGGCTCTGACTCTTGTTAGCTGAGTGCCTTGGGTATACAACATTTAACCTCTCTGAAGTTTATAAGGAATGTGAAAAAATTCTTTTGTGGCTATAATAATAGCTAAAATGTACTGTTTACCATGATCTAAACACTTTGCATATATTATACTCATTAAGCCTCATAACAACCCTCTACTGTAGGCTTTCTCATATATCCACACTTTACAGATGAAGAAGTTAAGGCACAGAGATTACTCTGATAGATATGTGTCTTGTACATGGAAGAGCAAGACTTGAATGCCAGCAGTGTGGCTCCTTGCCCCAGCCTTGAACTTCATTGCTGTACTTACAGTGGGAAGGGTGGTGCTTCTCAGTCATGGGTGTTGCCAGTTATAATGTATGCACTCCTAGCATCTAGTTATTATGCCTAGAATCACTCAGCTTACAGGGATCTGGCAGAGAATGAGGAGCCCAAAGGATTGTTCATTGTTATGAAGTAGCTGCAGTGGTCATATAATAGGGGCAGCAAACAGTGCACTTCACTACAGATTTCAACAATACCTGTGAAAAAGTCCATAGAAAGCCCAAGTGGATTCCAGTTGACTCACAGAACCTGAGGGTTGGGAGGAATCTCTGGAGGCCACTGTTCACCACAGATAAGAATCAGAGTGATATGTTGGGGGCATTAGGTGGATGGCATTTTGGCCATGGGACCTAGAAATGCTCAAATTCTTAGGTTGTTCACAGGTATCCTGTGACGTTTCCAAGGGAATTGTATATACAAGGGTGTTGACTGTGACAAGAACTCAAAGTACCATTTACTTATTAGCCTTTCAGCCATCATCCCCAATGCAGCCCTCTGGTAATGCTGGGTTAGAAAGCCTCAAGGCCTAACCAGGGCTTCTCCTCCTCAAGTCCCATTCTTGTTGCCAAATGACCTTGGAGGCCTGAAGAAAGGATATCTCCCAGGTGTCGCAAGAGCTCTTTGGAAAGGAGGGGAGGGAGACAGAATGACAGAGAGACAGAGAGAGGAGAGCAAGAGCAAGACAGCCTAGTTCCATCCTGACTCAGCTAATTCATTCTTTACATAGTTGTCTCATCCACTAATGTGGTTCCATCAGTTCTGGAATCCAACTGTTAGAGTAGCAACAATTTCTGGCTGGGGTAGACATAGATATCCTCTTATATAATCATAGTATGATTATGTGAGTGTGGGGGGGTTGTGTGTGTGTGTGTGTGTGTGTGTGTGTGTGTGTGTGTGTGCATAGAGAGACAGAGGGAGAGAACACTTTCAAGAAGACTGTAAGGAAATGGTTGTGTTTAAGTGGTAAGATTTTAGTATTTTTTAAATTGTCTGTGATAAGCACAAATTAACTACCTGTGTAATAAAAAATATATTCAATAAATGTAGTAACTAGAATTGAATCTGGTCTTCTAATCCAAGAGCAACATCAATTGTGGTGTTATATAGTACAAAGATGAATGCTAAAGCAGCAGTGCATAAAAGAATCTATGAAGTGTGACTGTCAAGGAAGACTTCTTAAAGAAAGGGACATTTTCGCTGAGCCTTAAAAATGGAAATGATGGAAATCCTCTCATTTTTACCACATTATGTCTACTGATTTGTTGTAGTTTGATGTTCCATGCGGTGTTGTGTGTGACTTTTGTCTCTTTGGATCAAATGTTAAATGCCTGGGGTCAAGGGCTGTTTCTTTTCTGCATCTCTCCTTCACCTCCAGTTTCATCTCCCACTCGGAAATCACCACAGCAGCTCAGTTAAGCTTTGTTATTCAGTTGGCCCAGCCCAGGCAGGTGCTCGTCCAAGCCAGGCTACACGCTCTGGGTTATTTATAAGCTGAGTTGCCAAATTAATGGCATATTTTCTTTGTCTCTCTAGCTCCTCTTCAGAGGACATCTGAGGAAACTTATACAGGGACATTGGAAAAGGAAGACGACGAGACTAAATTTGAAGTCAAAGTAAGATCACCTTTCTCTTTTACAGTTAGAGATTTCTGATATGAGAGAATATTGTTGCCATAATTACCAATAAATGAAGTTCCCCTATCCCATACCTATCACAGCTCCACATGATGTGGCCATAAAGACATGTTGCACAGACTAGTGCTCTCAAGAGCTGAGTTTTGTAGGATTTGTTCCTTTTCTTCTTAATTGCAACTAAAAAAACTGTTTGGTCATGGATGTAATTGTTGGTAGATATTATGTTATTGAGGGAAGAGTCATTTTGTGCATCCCTATACTCTGACTTCATATTTAAAATTGGTAGAACAGTGTGTGGTTTATGTACAAAAACCATGGCTAAATTGCATAGAGCTGCACATGCTCACGTGCATGTACCACTAGTGAACTCTGAATAAACTGTGTAGATTGTGTGAACATAGTTTTCTTGCTTTTAATACTATGCTTTATTTTAGTAAGGTATTAATATTAGAGGAAGTTGGGGGAAGGGTACATGAGACCTCCCTGTATGTTTCTTTGCAAATTTATGTGAATCCATAATTACTTCAAAATACAAGTTAAAAAAAAAAAAAGCATAAGCTTTGGAATCAGACAGACCTGCATGGAAGCCACAGAAACCACTCTAAGCCTCCATTTCTCATCTATAAAAATGGGCATAACAACAGCTATCATCTGAAACTAATTTTGAGCAGCAAATGGAAATTTGAAAAGTGCCAAGCACCGTATAATTGTAAAGTAACATTATATTTAAATACCCAAATAAAAAATACGTTGCCGCAAAAGCAATCCTAGAAGGGGTCCATTTCCCCCTGCCTCACTAAAAAGTGAGTATCTGGCTGATGGAATGGTTCTGAAAGCAGAAGCCAGTAGACCCTGGGTCACTTGCACTTGAGCAACAGTTTGGATCCACCATCTGTGCCTAATGGGTCTGAATAGAGGACCCCACCAGTATTCCACCGACCATGCTGGAGTGAGGCAGAAAGCGGGTCTCAGACTTTTCTTCCTCCAGGCAGAAACAATGTGGCAAGTGGAGTTCCCAGCAGACTTCTTAGAGAAAGCTGCATTCTTCTGTTTGGTTATCCTTTCGTAGTTTAGGCAGACCAGGACATTGCTATCCCTGTTTCAGAATCCCCTGGGGTGGGAGAAATTGCTTTACCATGTCTTCCAGAGTTAAGTAACAGTCTGCAGTTTCACACAGTTATGATCAGCCATTTAAAAGAGTAAAGAGCAATTTTTTGAAATGGGCAAATGTAATGAAACTTCGCCAGACTTGACATCCATGAAGTCTGTGGAATTATTGGGTGACATAAAAAGGGCTTAACCATGATCACCTTCAAAACTGAGCATCACCCTACCCATCTCTGTACCCTGGGCTTCAGAGAATCTCATCTCTAAAGGTGAGAGCCTTGTCAAGTGCACCAAAGCCCAGATCCAGCCCCTGAACTTATGTGCTGTTGCTATTAACCCACAAATCAAAGTGATTTGCACTTACCTCACAGCTCTGTGATTTTCTTTGCCCCATCTTTAGACAACATATTTATGGCCTGCACACTTTATAAAGAGGCCATAGGAGTTGTGTGTACATGCACGTTCTCATATGAGAGAATCCAAATTCGAGTGAATTATTTCAATAAGTGTGAATAATAAAAATGAGTGCTGCTGTTTTATTGTTGGGGAAAAAAAAGGAAATACAGTCAGTAAGCACAAAGCACATTTTCTCAGGGAAGACCTTAGGATATTTAAGATGAAAGCTTCTCATAAGCTACACTTATTATTTACTTCGATTTTATTTTTGGTAAATACAGACAATGCAGAAACTAGGGCAGGGGAAGAATCAGAGGCCTATAGGGTTGGCAGATGTTGAGTAGAATCCAAGAAGCTCTGACCACTAGAATTTTGGTTTCTTCTTTTTTTGGCCTTGCTGCTTATTTAATTCAGACTCCAGGCCCATCCTGCTAGGATGCTGGCTCCCTCGTATTTAGGCAGTCACCAACAGCATAGGTACTGGTAAGCCAGCATAAGCCCATGTTACAATTGTCCTGGGCTTTAGTTTTTGTTTTTCCTTATTGTGACTTCGTTTGTGTATTTAATGAAGGGCTTTTCCTGCAACAACATGTATGTTAACAGTCAAGGCAGTGGAGGAAGCATTTTGGCAAACCGAGGCTGGCCAGACTCTACTTCTAAACACCAAGGCTATGAGAAGTGTGAGCAGAATCCATGTAGTTGTGAATGACCATGAGTAGGAAGGAAGAGGGTTTTTGAACTAAATCCCCAAATCCTAGACTTAAAAATCAATTCCGGACCAATAAATGCCATTAACGTTTGACAAGGTAGGTAATATAACTAGGGAAATCGTCGTTCCAAAATATGTAAGAAAACTAGTAAAAAAAAAAAAAGGGTAGGTTAGAAAAAAAGGTTTAGATTCACGTCTGTGTGATTCATGGTTTATTAGAAGGGGGGCAGGGAGGTTGACTGACATCAAGAACAATCATTGCTGCTTGTGTTTTGTGGCCATTGTCCAGGACAGATGACCAGAATGCATAACATGTAACTCTAGTGACAATCCTGACATCCTTGACCTGAGGCCTAGACCGCAAAGATGAAATGAAATCACAGCACAAATCATAACATTGTGATAAATGCCCCACCTTACCTTCCTTGGGTAAATGCTCACAGACCAAAAAAAAAAAAAAAAAAAGGAAATAAACCAAAACCACTCATGATTGCCACTACATTCACTGATACTCACTACAACAAAATCATGCTATGAATTTATCGTCATCAGGGAATTCATTTCCAAAAAAGACGTCCTGTCTTCTCAGGTGGAGTAATCCTTGCTTTACTGGTTGGAAGGAGCGTAAGCTGGCTGAGCTCTCGGGCCGTCTGGCCAGCCGTGCGGCCATGCGCTAGACTCACTGACGTGGTGTGGGAAAGCCCAGCCGTGAAGGAGATTCGCTGTGGTTGCTGGCAGTGGTGATGTGGCTGGTTTGGGTCCTTTACGTCACCAGCTGGAAGCTGAAAGCATGACTCACAGGAGCTGCTTTCTCAGGCTGCTCGCATCACAGCCTCTTCAGAACTGGAAAGAGGCCAGAGGCTGATGAAAATTCTTTTTTCATGAATGTGAACCCTCATGATACAGGCCGAGCTACTGGCTGTGAGCACCAACAAAGTATTCTTGGGCACCTGTTAATGTGGCTTTAGCATAGCAGAGGACTTTTTAGGCTTGCAAGCAAACAGCCTTCTTCATAAAAATTAAAGGAAAAAAAAAAAAAGCCAAGACAGTAAGTTACAGAATGGGGAGGTGAGGGAAAGGTTGCTAACACTGATGAGACCCAGACATTGTGCTGTGTGCTCTATGTACCCGATTTCATCAATACCTTGGGGAAGAAGATGAGGAAGCTGATGTTTCCCTTGTTTTATCCATGATGCAGTTGAGACTCTGAGAAGTTAAGTAAGTTTCCCTAAGGGTCACACAACTAGTAAATGGTGGAATGGGGATTTGAAACTCGTAGTTTATTTAATCTAACAGTTTACTTATCTATCTAACTTAATCTATTTACCTATAACCTATTAGTTACTTAATCTGCCTATCAGTTGACTTAATCTCTCATACTCTAAATTTCCTCTTCTGCAAAATGGGGATAAAGCAACCTCACAGGTGGTTGATTAAATGAGAACTATATGACTTCAATAACAATGATAATGTTAACGAATCAAAATAAAAACATTTAAAAAATGAGAATATATGGGGAGTACCTAGCATGATGCCTCATATATAGCAGGTTCTTAGTAATTTTAGTTTCCCATTTAATCCCATGTTTATAGATAGAATGTTCTGTGTAAAAGATGAAAAGTAGCTGAAGGATGGTCAGATTCAGGTCTTAAATTAAATAGCTTCTCCTAATCTTGAATGTGTACTGTTTTGCCAAATGATAGCTGATCAGGCCCAAACTCAGTTCCTTGTTTTCTCACGCCTTTGAATCCCCAAAGCTTTCATTTACCTCTGATTCTCAAGAGGAGAACTATATAAACTATAAGCACATTTCAGTGTTCACCCTCTATGATGCTTGAAGTCTGTTCATTCAGAAAATCCACCAAATCTTTGAGGCAGCCGCCATCTAAGCTTTCTGAAGAATTTCTAGAACCAAGATTATCAAGGTTTCCTATGTATTGCAGTCCTGAGAAGCTTATTAATAATGCAGATTCTCAATCTCTACCCTCAGATTGTGATTCAGGAGGGCCAGAATATGGTCCAAGAATCTGAATTTTTAACTTTTAAATTTAAAATTTTTGATTTGGTAACTAGAATGCAGGTGGTATAAGGACTGCATTTTTGGTCACACTGGCCCAGAAGTTATAATCATAGTTCATAAAGACCTGGGATAAAGGAGAGCTCATTAAGGTGGATATAGAACTCTTAGGCTAATATAGAGTCCAGAACTTAGTGAAGTAAGGGTGTGATTATATTAATCTATCAGAATGTACTTTCACTGAAGGAGCTATATGAAAAAGGAGAGAATAACAGTTAAGACCACTGTTAACTTTGCTCTTTGACCAATAAAAAACTGAGATGACTAAAATATTTCATTGGTCCAACCTGGGTGTCTTACTCAGCTCCATTTAATATATATTAAAGCAATTGCTATGGGTCATATGGAAACGATTCTAACATGGGCCCTGAACTCAGGAAACTTAACAAGTTTCATGAGCGAAACTACATATTTCAGATACTATAATGTAGAGAAGAATGACATACCTCCAGTAAAAGGAATATAACATGTTAGAAGGCAGAAGAGGGAACAGTTCCTAACAACGATATTGGGGATATTTTATAAAAGAGATGGCATTTGGACTTAACTTTGAAAAATAAATACAACTTTGAAAGGTGGATAAGACAGAGAAGGGCAGTCAAGATGGGGAAGGATGTAAAGTCTCAAAAGTCTGAAGGGGCATAGGCCATTCCGAGAATGGTTCGAGAAAGCCAGAGAGGTAGACCGGAA